GAATTGAAAAGTCTTATTTGTCCGCTCATATGATAAAATACTCCACTAGCATTAGAAGAAGCTCTATCAAATAAATTACATAGATTTATTATCTTTTTGGTTTACAAGTAAAACCTTCTCATTTTGATCAATGTACAAGATTCAATAGAAGGAGAGTTTTAAAAGAGTATTAAGGGTTATATACTAGTGGAAACCTCTGTTTCATCTTCAAGCAGTCATGCTTAACATTTTATTTCCATTCAAATCTTTTTTGCAGTTCTTGAGGTTCAGCTCTCTCTCTCTCTCAATCAAATGGGTTTCCTCTTGAAATATAAGCATTTGGGTTTGCACAAGGATAACCATTATTTGGTGCTTGATGAAATGCGTGTGCCGCATTGTAAGTGTTTTCAGCACTACCGAGGCCATTCATCTCTTGCAATCTGCACACAAAATCATTTTTTTTTTTTTGCCCATGAAAACCAAAGCGTACTCGAGTTTCAAGAACCAATAATCCATTCAAAGAACACTAAGAATAGTCAGTACCTTAAAGATGGAGACATATTCACTTGTGATTTTTGCCCCATAACTGTACCTAATATTGCCAAGACTCAACTCTTAGAATTGATTCCAACCAGAAAAAGAACTAAATACACTACTGTCAGAGTACATAAACTCTGTCTCACCAGGAGATGGAGAGTTTGGAGATAAAGCGCTTGTATAAAATGGCGATTGAGAGGCCATCACTACAACGGAATCCGGAGCTGGACTTGAAGAATCTGAAAACGCTCCTCCTGGAACTGACACTTGAGGCAAACCTCCTCCTTGTACGTATCCCATAGAAGGAAACTGTCAAAGACAACACAAAAGTATAGGTAGATAAACAATAGTGGCATCAAAGGGAAACACTGAGGCAAAAGCTTATGAATGTATCTATAGGTTTCATACTTGTGATGCTTGGTTTGGACCTGTATCATCACAGCTAAGATCAAAGGGATTTGATGTTTTTGCAGTATATGCAAAGGCTCCTGTATTCTGCCAAGAACAAGGATATATAGAGTAAGATCATCTCAAAAACTATTGATCAACCAACTTTATGCCAAACTGAAATAATACCACAGGATATTGGAAATATTGCATGCCATATCCCATGCCATGATGTTGTTGACCATGCATTTGTGGAGAAGCAAATGAGAAGCCTCCAGTGAAAAGGTCCTGCCAATGGGTTAGATTCTTATGATTGGAGATATGCCAAATAAGTATCCAGTATAAATTAAAATAAAAGAATTTGTTACCTCAGGAAGCGCACTTCTTACGCTAGATTTTGTTTCATTTTGATGATGCTCAGATCCAACTCCATGTGCAGAATCTGAGATATCTAGAGTTGACTGTTCCATAGAAGTATCTGATAGTCCCTTAGGTGAAGTAGATAACGCCAACTGTGTTTGCAACATGAAGAAAACAAATTTTATGGTCCGGTCTGACTTCATTTAGCCAGCCTATAGTGATTCAGATACCAACCTGGTTGTTTGCAGTTACACTTGGTGTAGCCAGCTCTTTTGTATTTAAGTTATCAGCAGAAACAGGAAATGCCGGACTCGAGTAACCGGCATGAGGAGATTGAGCATGTGCAATTGTAGGTGATGAGACAATAATAGAGGTAACACTGTCCGGTGTTCTTGGCATTGTCTGAGTCCCAAGGTTAGCTGCAGGAGAAGAAATATTATCGCTTTTGCTCCATAGTTCATAGTTGTTTGTTCCGGGGACATCAGAAGGAACAGAGAGTCCAAACAACAAAGCTTCCAAGGAATTAGGAGCTGGATTTTCAGTTGTCTTTAGAGGTTCACTTGAAGTCTGTCTGATTTTATCATCACAAGGTTCTGAAACTGGTACATCATCAATCAAATTTACACGAGTCTCCAGTTTATCCTTCTTCTTTTCATCTTTTACGACATTTTCTACGCGCAAACGAGGAGCATTGTCGCCTAAAACTTCGCTGGCATGGCGTACGATGGGAAAACTCGGTGTGTCCTTGTTATTTGAGAGGTCAAGTGATTTAGAGCTTCCTCTTGACTCTCTACGTGCATCATATCTTTTAACACCTCCATCATCTCTAAACCTATCATCAACAATCTCAAACCGGATAGGACTTTTCGGTAAACCTCTAGATTTTGGATTATGCATAACATGTTGTTGATTATGTTTCTTGTCCTCAAAATAAAACTTGAGAGTTTCATTTCCACTCCCAACACCACTTGGTCTTTCAACTGCAGATTTATCCAAAGAGCGTAAACTTCTAGATCCGAAGAAACTCGTACCAGCCTTCCTACTTTCTCTGTATTCTTCTATAACAACCTAAATGGAAACACCATAAATATTCAAAAAATAGAAACTCAAAAATGTGTAATGTAAGTATTAACCATGAAAGAGGCTGTAAATGTAATGAACTGATCAAGAAAGAAAAGCAGTATACCGGTTTCTGCGGTGAGATTTTGTCATTGCTCTCACTACTGTATCTTTTCTCCACATAAACACTCTTGATAAAATCTCTAATCTTGAAAATATTACTGAACAAGAACAAATAAAAAATTGAGGTTAATTCATAGCTTTTGCTACTCCTAGTGTTAAGGCTGAGATTAATAGATGTCGAAGAACCTGGAATCGGGGTAAGCATCACGTTTATTATCCCATTCTTTAAAATAAATTTGTCTTGCTCGCTGCAAAAAAAAACAAGCAAAAAGATCTTTATGTAAGTTTTGTTTACACAAAACATGAGAAGTTCAATAACAAACCTCGTTTCCTCCTGCACGAAGTGCGGTAACTTCTTCTGATGTGAACTTGGCCATTGATACAGATTTCACACGATGTGTAAATTCTCGACTGAACATAACAAAAGAAAAGTATTCTTACTTTCTTAGACATGATTTGAT